AGTGCTATGGCCGCTGCTCATCTCTCCAAAAGGATTCATGCCATCCGTACTTAAACCAAACCGTATGTTTCGTGTGTCCTTTCCAAAGTCTTTAAATTTTCTGTCGATGTTTCGCCACTGCGAACCATCGGCGGGGTGTCTCAGCATCCCGTCCTGTTGACGCTCTTCAGCGTGCCATCGCATCATTCTAGCATTCTCCTTGTTCCTAAACAAACGCCTTAGCCGTGGTATTATAGGGAAATATCACATCACCTTAGCAGGAATTCTCTTCTTCGTTAGCTGCCCGTCAACTTCTCCTGGATCATCTCGTCTAATCTTGTATCGTAGTGCTTTGCAAACAGGACATGCTTCTAGGTTCTCGTACTCCTCACCGTGATATAGGATACAATCATTCGGACATGCGTCAATCTTCTGAACTTCCAGTCCTAGAGGGCAGACTATCTTCTTAGCCTCGTACGTTGTCTCGGGCAACTTGTTTCCCTCCGGAAGAATGTTCTTGACGAGTTTCAATAAATCGCCAAATGCCTTGTCACTAACACCATTTTTTGCCTTCCATTGCAAGAACTCCAGAGTGGTAACCAACTTTTTGTGCCCCTGCTCGCAACCTAGGTACAACGACGTTCTGTGATCCTCTGACATCTTGTCCAATTTATTGGCCCCCTTTTCACTTTTGCAATCCTCCTTGGCGTCCTGCAACATCTGACCAAGATCATCCGCAACGTTGTTACCATCAGCATCCCTTTCCTCCTCGCCCATTTGATTTCCTTCAAATCCAGCGTACTGAGCATAGTCCGGAATATTGTCGTCTTCCACTTCATCTTCTTCCATTTCAACACCTTGCTCTCCATGGGATGTCCAACAATTATAGCTTGGCATGAACCCTGACTCAAACAAGTGGAAATGAATAGTTCTGGATGCAGAATACTCCTTCTGATTCTTACACTTATTGCATGGACAACAAATAAAACCCTTTTACCTGTTAGCTTCGGCCACTCTCAAAAAATAATGCACGCCGTCAATAAACTCTTTGTACCGCCGGTCAGCGTACATCCATTGCCGATCCATCTACATGACATGAAAAAAAATCGTACACACATAATTATTCGTACAATAATAACAGTCATACAATAATTACAAAATAATTACAAACTCTTTCAACAGTAACACAATAATGACATATCATTATTCATACAAATATTATGAAATATTACACTAAATAATTATATATTTACTATTTATAAAGTTTTAAACTAATATTAATGTGTTGTACTTATTTTAATTTTTCATTTTACTTTGTTTTCTATTATTCAAGATTAACTTTCACTATATTTTCCTTCTCAACTATTTTATAAAACCTTCTTTAGCAAATAAACTAAATTTCTATATATTCTTTCTTCTCCACACAAATTTTCTCTCTCATCAACTAACAACAAAATTTTGGAGACAAAAAAGTGTGCAAAACATAGTTCCAAATGTAATATAAAAAAACATTGGAGGATGAAGTTGCTAACCTTTTAGGCATCTCCGATTTGTATATAATCACCAAAATAAATTCATTAGAAATTTGGCATGACCTCCCCTCTTTTTTGAAGAAATTTTGAAGCTTGCTCGGGCTGGAGGAGGAAGAAGACATATATATAGGGGTGGGACTTTAGTCCCGGTTGATGTTATGAACCGGGGCTAAAGATCGCCGGGATCTTTAGTCCCGATTAATAACACCAACCGCGACTAAAGATACGATCTTTAGTCGCGGTTGGTGTTATTAATCGGGACTAAAGATCCCGGGGGGGGGGGGGGCTTGACAGGCCCTGGCAGCATTTGAACCGGGACTATAGATGATCTTACCAACCGGGACTAAAGATCAAATATACCCGTTACCCTTTTTAACCGGGACTAAAGATCATCTTTAGTCCCGGTTTTTGTTGCAACCGGGACTATTGTGGAATTAGTCCGACCGACAAAAGATGGTTTCTCCACTAGTGTTTTCACTTTTAACAAGCCTAAACTTCATGCGATTATCAATGAAACCGGGATTTAATGACACAGCTAGAAATTGCAGGCTGTGGTGCCAAACACATACTTATATTAGCCCCTAATCTTTTTACTCACCAGATCGCTATCGTCGTGTGACCGTGATCAAAGTGATGACTCGTAGATTAACTAAAGATAGGCAGACTTGTCAATCACGATGACTCACTTAACGTTATTTACATATGGTTCCGTCGAGTCACCTTCAAGTATTGTCATGTTGCGCCATTCTGCTTTTAGTTCGAGCTTATATTCTACTTGTGCCGTTAATTTAGTATATACTTATTATCAACAAATTTTACTTATACAGCTAATTAAATGGGCTAGTCTAATTTAATCCTAGTAAATTCTATGAGCCCACATTTAATGTTAAGAGAATAACATCATCTTGGAAACCAATGTTGAGGGACCTCCATTTAAATAGGTTGCTAATTGAGAGCATTTGTTGATCAGTTGAGGTGGAGGTGGAACTGCCGTGAAAGGCAATAAGAGAAGGTGGCAATATTTATTGAGACTTCTAATTAATCAGATAATTAGCAAGGGTAATAATTCCTCCATCCCAAACTTATCATCATGTAAGCAAAGAACACTGAGATAAAGATTACACAACTTTTATGGTTCTGAAATTAATTGTTATCGATCAAGATGCTCTATGCTTCGTGTCCCATGGATAGTATCACTCTTTAAAGTGATGTCCATTTACTCTTTACGTAAATAAATGAAGAAACACTTAGCATATGATGATTGTGTTTGAAAGAACTATGAAAAAATCTTTTATTTTTGAAAGAACTATAATTTTTTTTTGTGATACTCAAATTGAAATGGAGGAGTAAGGTTTTAACTAACTAGAAAAATGCTCGTGCGTTACAACGGGTGAAGACTATTTTAATAATATTATTATTATATGGTTTAGTTAATGTAAAATTCATTGTGTTAAATTCGCTTTGATATATATTTTGTTAGAAAAACATGTGTTGTAATTAGGAGTCCAATCATCTCAAGCTAGGATGCGAGTTTTTTTTTAAAAAAATTCTTATACGATTTCTTCTATACTTTCAAAAGTGAACGGGTTTAAAAGCCGATCTGTGTTTACAAAAGCGAACGAACTTAAAAACCGACTCATACACGAATGACGTACCAAAGTACCGGTAAAAACATATTTAATTTTTGTAATAGTAGAGAAATGTGAAGTCATTTTGCCGGACCTGAAATGCGATGTCATGGAACTCATTTTTTTTTTGAGAAGAAGTCATGGAACTCATGAGTCATGAAGGACGGATGGAAGAATTTGGGATTGTTTTTTGACTGTGTAACAAACATTAAAATTAATTGAGTATCAACTATTACCAATTTAAAAATTAATATGTTTGATTTTGTAGGAAAATTCGGTATAAAATATTTTTTTATATGAAACGCACCACTTTAACCGTTGGAGAAATATGCTCGAAAGTAGCCGAATTCCTGTTTAGAAATCATCCGAACAAAAATAAATTACTACTACAACAACTGACCCAAGCTTCGGTCCTTTTCCATCACATTAACCTGTCATACACACGCAACTTTTCAGTCACATCATTTTCAATTTCAACCAAAATCCAAACTTTACGCTGAACTAAACACAGCCTACAAGTTGTCTCAATTTACCGAACAAACGTCACATCAAATTTTAAACACATGTATGTAGACATTAAATATAAATAAAAACAAAAACTAATTGCACAGTTTGCGAGGAAATCATGAGACGAATCTTTTGAGCCTAATCAGTCAATAATCAACCATAAGTGCTACAATAATCCACATGTGCTAATAACGGCTTAATTAGACTCAAAAATTCGTCTCGCGGTTTTCAGACAAGCTATAAAATTAGTTTTTTTCATTCATGTCAAAAACCTCTTCCGACATCGGTCAAATATTTAATGTGACACCCAGATATATTCTTTTCGCGATATAAACAGAACCTGAGATTCCCAGCTGCTGCGACTTTCACTTCCCGATCTGAAAACACAGAATGCAGAGGAGCACTGCTCCGCTGCAAAAACACTGCAAAAACATTGCTTTGCTTGCCGAGGCAGCAAACGACGGCAATGGGCCAATAGCCAGGCCAGGGGCTCGGGTAAACCACGGCAATGGGCCAATACTAGTACTAGCGGCAGCGGCCCGGTCGTCGGTGCAAAGCAAAACCCATCGATCTGAACCGACAACGAGTCGTACTGTTCGCCCGTGTCAAGACCCTGTGCGCGGCTGTCCGCCCGGCAGGCGTGCAGCGATATGATACGGCTCGACTTTGACCAATATCCCATCCACGCGGCACAGGGAGCCCGCTAGATCCCACACCTGCACGGACGTGACAGGGCGACTAGTGAAAACGCCAGCGGGGACACCGACTCCCCCACGTACGTACTCCAGTACGATCCGCCGCCCCGGTGGGAGCCTCGGCCCGTGCACACGCGGAAGCCGGAGCCCGTCTCGTAGCGCAGTCGCCGTACTCTCTCTCGTGTCGTGTCGTTTCGCGGCCGCGCGCTAGAGTAGATCTCGTCTCACCTACCACCAACCGGACACCTCTCGCCTCTCTCGTCTCTACTCCGTGGACGCTACGGCTTGTCGCGTTTCCCCAGCGACTAACCGTTGCTTAAGGAGTACAGTACGTAGAGTCCCCGGATCGATAACATCTATGCAGGCATATGCATGCAGCCATCTGCTGCCGATGATTAGCGATGGATTATTATATCGTGACAGTAGCAATGTGCACAGAGAGCGGACGAGTTTGCTCGTGTCGGTGATCCGACAGGTAGCTTTTTATCACTTGGTCAGTGGTTTTTTCTTTTCCATTTTTTTGTTGCTTTCCGAAAGAGAGATAATTTGACCGGTCACCGCACGAAGAAAAGAGAAACAGAAAATGGAGAGAGAAAAAAAAACCGCATATTTCGCACGTACTAGGCCACACACTAACCGTGCAGCGAGCTTAAATTAGCAGCTCCAAGCGTTCCACATCTTTGATCACTTCTTCCATCCATTTTGCTTCCCCCTTGGCTCCCTCCACACCGTCCGGCGAACTCCACGGCCACCTCCGGTCAAACCGCAGTGCTCACCGGAGCTACGACCACCAGCTGCCTCACCGTCGAGTGGGCCCCAGCACCAGCCACACACCGTAGCAGCCCCTCTTGCTCAGGTCCGGTCGCCTCGCTTCCCGCGCGGAGCTTTGCGAGCGGAGGAAGGCTGGCTTCCGCGCGACGCGTTCTTCCTTTCCGCGTTCGTGTGCAGCCCCACAGTCACTGACAACCGGGGCCTGCTGCCGTCGGCCCCACCTGTCATCACCTACCCCTGGTCGACAACTTTTTAACGCTCATTGACAGGCGGGACCACCGCTCGATCCTGCTGCTCCTGCCTCCTCCTGGACTGGACCTTCCTCCTCGCCGCGCGTGCCGAGGTGGAGGAGGACGACGAAGCTCTCTATAGCTAGCTGCCGTTGCGTGCCAGCTACTACAACACCCCTCCACGCCCTCGCTTTTTACTCCCAAATCGAAGCGCAGGTCGGTAAAAACAACAAGTGGATCGATCGATCGAGTAAAAGAAGCAACGATCACTAGTGTCTCTCCACGGAGGAGGAGGAGGTTTGACAAGGTGGCAGAGACGGAGGGAGGAGGAGGATGAGTAGCCTGGCCATTGTGGAGAAGAGGCCGGCGCCGTTCGTCGGCGGCGGCGGCGGGTGCGCGGGCGGCGTGCTGCTCCACCTCCTGGACTGGCACCGCCGCCTCGCCCGCAAGCGCCGCCTCTTCTCGCCGCGCAGGCTCCTCCCCACCTCGCTCCGCTCTTCCCCGCGCAGGCTCCCGTCCCCGCCTCAGGCCTCGCATCCTCCTCCCGCGCCTCGCTTGTCCTCCGCCGCAACCGCCGCCGGTGTCGCCGCTCCGGGCGTGGGCGTCGTCGCGCGCCTCATGGGTCTCGAGTCGTGGCCCGCCACTGGCCCCGTCGGCGCGCCCCCGGCGGCGCGGAGGCCGCAGAAGCAGAGGAAGGTGGAGGTGGCATCACCGACGCCGCGGGCCGACGAGCCAGACGTGGTCCTGGTGTTGCCTCCGAGCCAGCGTCCGCCGCCGCTATCGCCTGCGGCAAGGAACCATCACGGCGCCGACCTGCCGGCGAGGAGCCCGAGGCGGAGCCGACTCGTGCATGCCGCGGCGACCAAGCTGTTGGAGCCTAGCGCTCGCGCGAGCTCGAGGGCGAGTGCCAGGTTGGCCCTCGCGTACGCCTGCTCCTCCCCGCAGCATCGCATGGATGGCCATTCCAATGCGTTGCAAAGCTCAAGTATGCCTGATGACTTCCTGTCTCGCTCTGATAGCCTGCCATTAGAGCGTTCGTCCAGATTGCAGCCGGTCGTTGCCCAGCCTCCTGTTCTTCCGGCGGAGACAGAATGGGACAATGTCATTACTTCCAGTAGGCATGAGAAGCATTCCATTGACACAATAAGCAGCTCTGATGCTGCAGATGTAGTAAGTGGTGATGCAATAGTGGTGCTAAGATCGGGTTTTGATGATGCAAATGTGAGTAGAAGCAGCTCTGGTGCGGACGCCATGCCCAAGGATCACAAGGCAAGAACTGACAGACTGAGCAACTGTTCAAGAATGAGATCGAGTGGTGCTGGCGTTCGAGCTGGAGAAGAGAGGTCATTGCGCAAGCGAGGAACTCACTCTCTGCAAGATGTTGAGGGGAATATTGGATCTCGGAGCTTGGTTAGTTCCACTCATCCTGCTGCTGGTAGTGCTCGCGAACTGATGTCTGGCAGTAGGAGAGCTGCACACCATGGTTCTGGTCAAAGAAGGGAGTTGATGGGTACAATCACTCCACAAAGAAGCAGTCGCAGGGAGGTAATGGGTTCAAGCAATCCACAAAGAAACACTCGCCGAAGCTCGATTGACCGGAGTGGATTGACATCCACAACCACAAGTAGGATTGCAGTCAGTACTGTATCTGGGCAAAAAAGGGGATCACGGAAGAATGTAGGCCGTGACAATGCAGCCTGTAACAGAGAAGTTAATAATCCAGTTGCATTTGCATCTAGTTCATCTGTGAACCCAGTGACAAGGAATTCATCGCAAAGCAAAGTTTCAGAGAAGAGAGGGTGCAGAAGGACACAAGTTATTAGTACCAGTTGTAGTACAAGATTGCCGGTAGTTGAATCTTCACCTTCTGTTGTGGGTAGTTCTGAGAAAGAGGAGTTTAGCAGGCTACTGAAAGCAAAAATTAATGAGCTTGGTTTGTCTGATAGGATTGAATCAAGTGATGCTCTTTCAGGAAAATTAACTGCATCAGTGCTTCAAGAGCTCATTTCTGCCCTCACTAATGATACAAACACTTCAGATTCTCAACATAGTAACTATTCCAATGCATACAATTCTCAGCATAGCAACTACTCTGATGCAGTAGACTGTCTAAACAACAATATGAGTGCATGCAATTCCAATGATCAGTCGCATGACTTTCAGAACTGTTACCAGGTCAGTTTAAAATATCAGCATGCTGCTGCAATGTCAACTGTTAAATTTATGGTTTTTGCCATTTGCCTTTACATCATAAATGTAATCTTGTTAAATTGTAGCAACACCTCTTTCAACAATAAACATGTGATGGTTATACATAGTACCATTTTTTCAAACAGTGAACTCTGCTGCTGAATCTGTTCTATAAACCTATACCTGGTTTGCCATGAAAATCTAATGGTGAACCAAGTTGGTATCTGTCAGAAGCCATTTTTATTTTTACCACTACTTTAATGACTTGACATTCGTTGTAAGGTCGGAGTAGCTTAGTACATGCTGTTTTGTTAACCCCTGAAATTTGGACTTCTTTTGTTCTGTTTCAAGAGGGACAGAGAGGTTGAATCTTCTGCTACTTGCATGAACAATGAGCCCAACCAACCAAGTCCAACTTCAGTCCTCGAAGCATGCTTCTCGAATGATACTTCATCGTTAGGAAGTCCAACCGAAAAAAATGGTAAATTATTTGTATCATCTTGAATTCTAAACTAGAAAGTAGTTACTTATTCATACACTCAGGGATGCCTGCTGAACTTTGAAATGCATTGATCAATGGGTACTACTTTTACTTCGATAGAATGAACCATAATCGGTTCTTTATTATTGTTTTTTCTGTCCCTGCAGAGGGTAAAGAATACTTTGTGTCAATTGAAAACAAAATGGAAGATCTCTTTAATTTGGAGTCTGACATTGTGGATTTGGCAATATCTATTGACAAAACGAAGACCGATGCTGAAGAAATATTTCATGGAATTGATAAAATGTCTTCTGTACATAATTTGATGGCGCGTGATTTCAAGCTGTTAGAAGCTAGGCTCCACAGCATCGGAGAAGCCATTTCAAATGCTGAATTGCTGTTAGGCAATAGCCCCTTGTCTACCAAAACATCAAATCTATCACTCCATTGTTTTATCATTGAAATGCTTGAAGTTATTATGGATTTATTTGGTGGGTCAAAGAGCTTAGGTCTCACAGAAGAAAAGAAGTATCAACAAACCAACTTCATATTCGACTGCATTATTGAATCAGTGAATTCAAAATTCTGCGATTTCGGCAAATGCGGATACAAGGCATGGTTGAGACTGCCTCTCAGTTTGACTGAAGATCTGTTGAAGAGGGAGATATCGAAGGAGATCTGCAATTGGAGGGAAACTAGAGAAACTACACCCAATCGAGTTGCTGAGAAAGAGTTGGACCAAATGACTCCCAGGTGGGATGCATGTCAAGTGGAAGCATTTGATATCAGCATTGCAATTGAGCATGACATACTTGAGGCTCTTGTTGATGAGTTTGCATTTGACCAATGGTGAAAGGCCTGTACATGGTTCCAGTTGATCTAAAGGTCTGGACAACTTCAGAGTTCAGACTTCTGGTTCACATGATGATCACCTATAAATAATACTCTGCTGATATGTTTGTATTCCTCTCAAGGAAATTTTGTACAGACTCATGTAAGATCGTAGCGCCCCCAGACTTTCTTTTGTTGCCTAATTGAAACATGTTAAAAGTACCATCCCTATTTTCAACCCTTTGTAACCCTGCTGGACCTTGATGATGACTGAATAAAGGTGTTAGAACCTGAAGGAATTGTACGGCACAGACTTGCAACATGCAGAAAGTCACTTTTGCTGGATCTATCAAATACACATATTATACGTAGTACTTGGTACTCTAGATCGTTATGTCGTTGACATACCGAGGATTGTACTCATCCTTTGTTGTCAATGCGCGTCTTGTAGCATGTAGGTGGGTTTTCTGAATAAATTTCCTTGCGAACAACATGCAATTGTTATTTCTACATTAGCACATGTTCAACTTGTTTAAATAGTTGTACTAACTACAGCTCTGCAGGAAACATGCAAGAATTAGAGAACAAAATAGTGCCAGTTCTCGGAGCAACATTTTCCCCAAAATCCTTCCTCGATGAACTTATTTTACACTGCACGGGAGATCAGGCTCTGCCCCATGGAGTGTCTCTGAACTTTTCCATGATTTGCTCCCACCTATTGTAGCTATTCCTTGTTTATCTTTTACCAAGATTCCTTGCAATTTTGAGACAAACAAATGTAGGAACAATTCTGACAGAAACCATGGTATTACTGAATGTGCCATCAGAGTAAAAAGAAAGATAGCACAGGACAAATATTCAAGCTCAACAAGGGTAGTACACAAAACACATGGAAATGTAAAGACTGAATTGAAGCAGGGAAAAGAAAGTTCTCCCCACAGACTGATAAACAGATACAGCAGCAACGGTAAAACGATGCAACGAAGTAACAAGAACATGAAGAAGCTGCAGCTAAGATAGCGACAATTTAATCCTACCAAGAAGCTACGGCAGCAGAAGAGGCAGTGAAGCGATCCAACGCAGCGAAGGCAGAGCAGAGGCCATTGAGCAGAGCAGAGCTGGATGGCTCGATTCAGAGGAGACGCTGGACCAGAGAGCGCTGCCTCTGCAGCCTCATCTCCTCGTAGAACCTCTCGATGAACCGCTCCGCCCGGCCGTCGACCCCCTCGTCGTCCTCCTCCTCTTCCTCCTCCTCGTACTGATCACCCTCGCCGTACGCGCCGCCGCCGTCGCGGCGGCACTCTTCCCACTCCACGGCGGCGCGCGGCTCGTCGGCTCGAGGCAAGCCGTCGAGCACGGCGACGTCGAGGTCGCCGTCGCCGCCGCAGAGGAGGGAGGCGAGGATCATCCTGGCCTTGCTCCTCCGCTTCTTGGTGGCCCTCCGCCACGACGAGACGCCCGGAGGGTACGCGATGAGCGGGGAGCTGGAGGGGGAGAACTGGTACTCCCCGACGTAGTCGTAGTTGTAGTGGCGGTGCGGCTTGTACCCGTACGACGACAGCATCCGGCGAGCCTTCCCGGCGGCGCCGCGCTTCTTGAAGAGCAGCAGGTTCCTGGCGATGGGGCCCTTGGCCTTGGATATCGGGGTCAGCGGGAGCGCCAGGATCGCCATGGCCCTCCCGAGAATCGGCTTGGAGGAGGACGACGACCTCGGCATTGCCCTCTCCTGGTTGGGTTTCCCTCTCTTTCTCACATTCAAAAATGGCGTGTGCAGCAGCAGCAGCAGCGGGCCAGCGGCCGAGTCGGTTTGTGCTGGGGTGTGGAGGCGATGGGGTTTTATGGTAGTGGGGTTTGGGGCGCAGCGGCACGGGTTCGGTGCAGCCGCTGCCTGGCCTGCCTGACCGGCCGCTTGGATCGTGCAGGAAAGTAGCCGTAGATGGATGGAAAAAGGCGCGTGTACCTTTTCGATTTATTAACACGTTAAATCGCATGTAAATGCTGCTTGCTGGTGTTGTCTTTGGATCTGGAGTGGCTGGTCACTGTGATTTTATATGGGGTGTTATTAATTTTTGTGATTTTGTGCGTGTAGGAGCTCTAGTAGATGGGAGACCGTGTGACTCTGAAACGTTCTCAGTTTCTGGCCTGTGCGGCTTGTGCGTCGATCGAGTTGATCACCGTGCTCGTATCCCGCGTAGGCTCCCTTTTTGCCGTTACTATTCAACTGCCACTTGATCGTGCCCGTAGTAACGATCGAGTCAGTATACGATTTATAGTCCATGTGATGCGGTTGATCGATCTGATGATACACAGAGAGTACTGGAGTATCAATGTATCATCATGCAAATGTAGGAGACGCGCGCGCTCTTCCCCGTCTTCCGCTCCTCCGTGGACGAGACGCTGCCGCTGGTGGGCTGGTGGTGGTGGTGGGGTAGCAGCTGGAAAGCGGTCGCCGAGGTCGGTGGTTTTGTCGCTCCGTCTGAGCTGGAAAACGCCCTTTTCCCAGCTTCAAACCCAACCTAGCCGTTGGCGACTTCGCGCCCACGCATCCGCCCGCGCCTCACATCTCAACTTCTCAACCAACCCCCACGACGCGGCCACGCTAGACTGCAGCTGTGCGCAACGCGAGCACATCACCTTGTCACCCCCTCTCCTGATCCACTGTTGGGGGGCCAGCCTGTTGACTACAGTGAAGGTACGGCTGACGCAGCCACCTGACGCCATTAACTATTCCAGACCTCACTCTCACAGTGAGTACGAGTGATTTTACTGCTCGTGTGGTTATTTATTTCCTCATCAGCGGCCTGGCTATCTGCTCGATCTGCATTCATTTCTTTATCCGATCCGTCGAGTACTGCAGTGCAATACGTAGGTCTTGTTTAGTTCACGAAATCAAAATTTTTAGATATCACATTAAACGTTTGATCAGATATCGGAAGGGGTTTTTAAACACGAATAAAAATAATAATTTTATAACTCACCTAGAAACCGCGAGACAAATTTATTAAGCCTAATTAATCCATCATTAGCACATGTGTGTTACTGTAGTACTTATGGCTAATCATAGATTAATTAGGCTCAAAAGATTCGTCTCGCGATTTCTATGCAAACTGTGCAATTATTTTTTCTTTTTATCTATATTTAGTACTCCATGCATATGTCCAAAGATTCGATGTAACGTTTTTGAGAAAAAAAATTAGGAACTATCTGTACTTTGCATTTTAGGCCGGGTAGCGACCTAGGCTGTGTTTAGTTCACATCAAAATTGGAAGTTTAGTTGAAATTGGAACGATGTGACGAAAAAGTTGAAAGTTTGTGTATCTAGAAAAGTTTTGATGTGATGTAAAAGTTGGTAATTTAAAGAAAAATTTTGTAACTAAACACGGCCCTATACTAATGGAAACAATTGAGGCCATTCACTGCTACTAGCAGATGATGGATCCGATCAAATTTCCGGCCAGTGCTGTTCATGCACGCTCGCGTATTGCTACGAAGATACACCCCAGATTTGGCATCGACGGCTCAAGATTTGCTGCAGCTGGATACACTCACGATACGGCGTACAGTTTACATGCCTATACCAGCTTCCAGCTGCTAGTAGCTTGCATGTGCATTCGACGTCTACTTGCGCCGAAATGATGTGAACTGCCAGTCGGAACGATTCCTCTGTCGAAACTTCCTACTGGAATTTGCTGCCATTGAAACTTCGGCTGAGTTTAGTTCAGCGCAAAGTTTAGCGTGTGTTTGGTTTCGGGACTAGGTGGGATGGGATGAAACCATTCCTAATTTTGGGGTTGGGATGATTCCATTTACATGTTTGGTTTATAGGATGGGACAATCCCAATTTTTTGTTTGGTTGAAGGGATGAGCTACAGATGGGATGAGTGCCGTTTGCTATCACTGTCAGCGAGAAAGAGGAGAGCGAGCGGAGGTGCGACGATGGCTGGCGGCGAGGAGGAGGAGCGGCGCAATATTGCGAGCAGGCGGACGAACAGAGGAGGAGCACGGACAGGCGAGCAGGGGTGCGGTTGGAGGAGCAGGCCGGCGGCGAGCAGGCAGAGGACGCGGATCCGCCTCCAACGCCATCCCCACCACTAGATCCGCCGTCGTCGTCGCTGAGCCCTCCGCGGTCGCCGTCGCTGAGCCTCCGCCGGTCGCCGTCGTCCAGTCCCCCGCGGTCACCGAGCCGAGTCCCCCACGACCGCGGTCGCCGTCGCCGAGTCAAGCCCTCTGCGGTCGCCGTCATCGAGCCTCCACAGTCGCTGTCGCCGAGCCCCCCGCGGTCGCCGAGCCGAGCCCCCACGGCCGCGGTCGCCGTCGCCGAGCCCGCCGTGGCCGCGGCCGCCATCGCCGAGCCCGCTGCGGTCGCCGTCGACGTCGCTGAGCCCGCCACGGCCACGGTCGCTGTCATCGAGCCCGCCGGTGTCTACCGCTGCTCCTGAGGGCGAGTAGGGCGAGCACGCAGGCTGGCCTCGAGCTCGAGCGGGTCACGCTGTTCGCTCGTCCTAATTGGGACGAGTTCGTCCGCCAGAATTTGCCGGATCAGTTGGTCCGGATCTGAGAGGAATATTCCTCTCCAGGGAACAACTCATCCCACTCACCCCTCAACCAAACAACCTCAAAAATGGGTTCGTCCCATCCCATCCCATTCCATCCTTGCAACCAAACACACCTTAGATTTTGGTTGAAATTGGAGATGATGTGACTGATAAGTTGTGTGTATGACAGGTTGATGTGATGGAAAATGACTGAAGTTTGGATCCAAACTTTAGATCTAAATACAGCCTTCGTCCTACTGAACTGAACTAGCTCTCGGATTTCCATCCCAATGTCTTCTTTTCTCCTGGAGTGTTTGGCTACATGCAAATAAAAAGATATACTCCAATACGGAGTGGTAGTAGTATATTGTTTTCTTTATTTTTCCTCTAAAGATTTGGACCTGTGCGTGTCTCCTGGTGGTTTGTTTGACTATTGTCCATCGATGCCGCACTCTGACCACCGCCCAACGACCGTATCAGCAATTCAGCATTCCGAGGCAAATGCGTCGTGCAGGGACAAGCAGAGAAGAACAGGAATTTCTAGGAGAAATACGAGGGATCACGACGTCAGGCATTCAGATTTTAAATTAGGTTGTATTTAAATTAGGTTGTATTTAAATTAGGTTGTATTTAGTTCCACGTTAAAATTATTTTTTTAAAAAAAAATTAAAACGATGCGATATAAAAGTTAGAAGTTTATGTGTATAGGAAAGTTCGATGTAATAAAAGTTAAAAGTTTAAAGAAAAAAAAAGTTAGAATCTAAACCGGGCTTTAATAGAATCACTTATGTAATACTAGTAGGGCTCCCGCCTTCTTCCCGGCAGACGTATCTGAAGAATCATGCAAGACAATAGCGCTGCTTCAAATTAGATTGCAGCTGTCCTGCTTAAATTAGATTGTTACTGTCCCTTATTATGAACTCAGGCAGTACGTACCTCACTCTGACAGCCCCATTGAGCTGGGTAAATTTAATTTGCATGTTACTATCAACTTGAGACGGATACTATAAGCCATTTACCCTGAGTATCCGGAGAATAAGGATCCCAGAGCATTGCAGCAACACGCTGGCATTCATCTCAAAACACACACACACACACACACACAGGAATACATTTTCTTTTTTCAGAGAGAATTGAAGCGAAGAGCTTCATCAGTTTCTGGCATCAAAGACATGAACAGGCCTGAGCAAAAGATCCATGGGCCGACCGTTCTAAAAGTTCCGGAATGGCCCAACAGACGTGGACAATGTTGGGCCTGGCCCATTGTTTAGTCGAAAATACCTCTCACAACTATGGGCCAGAATTCGCAGACAGAGATGGGCCAGTCATTGGGTTTATTTGGGGAGCTTTATATTCTAAGAAGCAGCTGTTTGTTAGCCAGTTTCTAAGAATCTAAAAAAACTCTGAAATCCAGCTTCTCCAGCTTCTGGCTTTTTAGTTCATATTTTAGAATCTGTAACTACATATTCTCATAAGTTGTGGACTGTTTGGGACAGCTTCTATCAGAAGCAGCTTTTGAAAAAAGCTGCAGCTAAAACAAGCTCCCCAAACAGGACCATTATCTGTTTGATAACAGTGTACTCTATCAACCCGTCACCCTATCACACGTCATCGACAAAGGTGGTTCTCGCTTTTCGCCGCTTCCTATCCGAAGTGCTTTTAACTATTTGTGCTTAACGATTTGCTAATAGGCCCACATGTCATAGACACATGAGGATCCACGTGTTATAAATACAGTGTGGCAAATCGTTAATTGACATGTCAAGAGAGTGGCAAATAGTTAAATTTCCCCCTATCCGATGACACGTGGTTGCCAGCACGGCAACTTCTCCCCTCGCTTGGACGCATCCGCATCCCAAACCCAAAGTGCCCAAAAGGAAAAAAAAAGTGAAAAAAAGCGAAGAATTCCAACTAGAAATCCGATCTCATCCCGTCCCGTCATCTGCTTCCTCTCTCGGAACTATCGGATCTCGTGAAAGGCATCTTCCTCCGTACTCTTCTTCTCCTTTCCTCTTCATCTTCTTCCTCCTCCTCTCCCCCACCTGCAATAGACTAGAAGCAAAGGAGATCAAATCGAAACCTCATCCCGGAAATTTTTCAATCGAAGCTTCCACTCGAAGGTATGATGGCGAGCTCCCGGTCTCAGGTTTATTATTAAACTCGTTTTCCCAATCTCCAACTGCGAGTTTATCAGTCACATAGTCAACGCCGAATTATGACGACTTTTTTCTCTCCGGGTTTTTTTTTTGGGTCTAAAAAAGCAAGTGGTTTTGTGTGGTGGAGTGCGATGGCAGGGA